TCTCTGAGCCTAGACACACAGGGGAGGGCCTAGGCCCTGCTCCAAATGACTTTGTTTTTTGTTTTGGTGTTTTGAGACAGGGTTTCTCTGTGTAGCTTTGGAGCCTATCCTGGCACTTGCTCTGGAGACCAGGCTGGCCTCAAACTCACAGAGATCCACCTGCCTCTCCTCTGCCTCCTGAGTGCTGGGATTAAAGGGGTGTGCCACCCACACCCGGCTGGATATGATAGACTTTGAAGATTCCCCCATGGAAGGCCTCTCCGTCCTTGGGGAGCAGAAAGAGGTTGGGATAGGGGATCGGTGGGGAGGAAGGGGAGGAGAAGAGGGAGAGGGAACCGAGATTGACATGTAAAGGAAGATTGTTTCTAATTTAAATACAAAAAACCCTAAAAACAACAACAACAAACAAACCAACTTGATTCACACAGGAAACTCAGCATGTGGAAATGGTAGGAAAAGGAAATCCATTTTCTAATTTTTGATCCTCACCAGTAAGAGATGGAGAACAATTCAAAGTATTCATCTGCCTTTGCTGGAGATGACCTCAGGGACTCCTCAGATCAGCACAAGTCATCACACAAGGATTTTCCTAGTTCTGTTTACAAAGTCATTCACAGTCCCACTCTGATTCAAACAGTTCCTCTTAGGTGGGTGTTTGCGGCTTTCCTTACTTGGCCATTAGGAGTAATAAAAGTCTTTAGCGCTTTGCAGGCACATTGTGTTTTTTAAAATTAAGTCTTTGGGTTTCATGGTCAGTAGTTTTCAGATTCTTATTTATACTTCTGCTTCCCTAATAACTTTGACATTGTGACTCAGCCACCCCACCCCCCTTTGGAAGGAAGAAAACACCCCACAAAAGGTAGAGGTCATGATGGTATTTTCTGTTCAGTTCTAGTCTTCCATTCCAAAAACCCCCCAAAAAACAAAAACAAAAAACAAACAAACAAACAAAAAACAAACCAGCAAAGATCCTCAATTTTTCCCTCAGGAAAGGACCATCAATTGTAGTTTGAACAACACTCTGGATTTTGTGATATAACAGAAAACACTGAATTCTGGAACGTAGCTTCCCTGAGCTATCATTCTTGGTTTTATTTTATGAAAATTCGATGGTAAAAACAAAATAATCTCTACCAACGGCAGGAGTTCTTCTTCTTCTTTTTTTTTTTCTTTTTTTTTTAAAGACAGGCTCTCTGTAGCCCAGGCTGGCCTCAGGCTCTCTACAATCCTCCTGCTTTTGCCTCTCCTAGTTGAGGGCTAGAAGGCATAAACCACCACCCAGTTCAGTTTCTTCTTGTCTATCCTGACTACCTCTCAGTCCTGGGAAACACTCGCCGTACTTGTCTTTAGAAGCAAAAGTTAGCTTTGAGCTTGGGACTAGATTTACCCAGTTAATCTAAACTGTCGTGGCCTGTGAAGAAATGATACTGGATGAATGAAGTTTTAATGCTGAAATCAAAAAAGGGGGAAAAATTCCTGCAGTACAGGGTTAGCACTAGTTTACTCAGCAGGGTATTAATCCACTTCCACTTTTCTTCCACTGAACGTTAATTTCAATGACTGTTTTTCACTGACTAGTTCTGTGAGTCTCTTGGTTGCTGCTATTTAAGTTTCCTGGAACTTACGAAATTCCCTTATTTAAATACTTAAGAGTGTGGGCAATGCCCATATCCTGGTGGCTCTTACTCCTCTCAAAGTTTTCTTGGCAGTTTCTCATGGGACAGTGCTTGTGTGAGTCTGCTCTTGACCTCTGAGGATGAGTGGACATGCTACTCGGATCTCTTTGGAGGTCTGTGTTTAAGGTGGTTGTTCCAAAATAGATTTGTGTTCCTTTCTATCAGGTGCCTACATACCCTCCTAATTTGGGTACCACTTAATATTTTTCTGTAAAGATTTATTATACAGTGTTCTATCTGCATGTATGCCTGCATGCCAGAAGAGAGCACCAGATCTCATTACAGATGATGGTTCACTATGTGGTTGTTGGGATTTGAAGTCAGGACTTCTGGAACAGCAGCTAATGCTTTTAATCACTGAGCCATCTTTCCAGCCCAATATTTTTATTTTTAAGGAGTATTTTGCTTAGTGTGTGTGTGTGTGTGTGTGTGTGTGTGTGTGTGTGTGTGGAGAGTGTGCGCACCAACAGAGCATGTGGAGGCAAAGGAATTGATCCTTGCTTCCATTTGGGTCCCAGAGATAAGGTTGTGAGGCTTGGCTGTAAGAATCTTTTACCTACTGAGCCCTTTAGCCAGCCTTGCCATCATCTTAAATTAAAACATGGCTTGAGGTTTTTGTGAACTTCTTGTTTTTTTCCATACTGCCTTAGTTACCTTGACATCACAATGACAAACACCTGGCAAAATTAAGAAGAATATATCTTTTATTTTTATTTTTTGAGACAGGGTTTCTCTGTTTAGCCAATCTAGCTGTCCCTAGCACTCACTTTTTAGACCAGGCCGACCTCAAACTCACAGAGATCTGCCTGCCTCTGCCTCAGGAGTGCTCAGGTTAAAGGCAAATGTTCAGATTACCACGCCCACCTGGCGAAGAATATATTCTGGTCCATGATTCAGGGGACAGTCTCTTGGGAAAGGCCCAGTAGTGGCAGCATGAGGTCACATGCTCATGTCAGTGGATAATGAAGCAGAGAGCTTGAGGTAGAGTAAGGGAGCCTGCCCATATAGAACCCAGTGTCAGCCCTGCCTCCTGCCTTCAGCTAGGTTGGTCCCTCTTTTTAAAAGTTCCACAGCTTCCTAAAACCCTGCCATCAGCTGGGGAACAGGTGTTCCAACATATGAGCCTGTGGGGTCATTTCATCAGAGGGTAGGATGTGGGCTTGAATCCAACTGTGTAGTAACTTTTGGATACAGCATGTCCTGAGAGCATACAGAAGTTCAAGATGGGAGTTCTTCCTCAGGGTCCTTGCTGGAGGAGGGGTCTCAGCTGATAGACAGACAGATCTGAGTGTAACTTCCAATGCTAGGCTGACCCTGGACTTGGCCTCTTTTCTTCTGAGACCATGAAGTTGTGGAAGTGCAAGCTGTTTTTAACTTCTAGATTGTAATTCCCATGTACTTATTTTGGGAATTCCTTATTTTCTTCTGCACTCTTTTGGAATATTTCTTCTTTGAATACGACACTTGAATTGTTACCAGCAGGAACACATATCTCATACCATAAGATTATAATGTAGATTTATAAAGTTAACAATTTTTTTTTTTTTTGGTTTTTTCGAGACAGGGTTTCTCTGTGTAGCTTTGGAGTCTATCCTGGCACTCGCTCTGGAGACCAGGCTGGCCTCGAACTCACAGAGATCCACCTGCCTCTGCCTCCTGAGTGCTGGAAGTAAAGGCATGTGCCACCAACGCCTGGCCAAAGTTAACAATTCTTTTTGAAGTGATTTGAAACAAAATGTAGAGAAAAGAAACCACTATGATTCAGACTTTATTGCTTATCAGTCATGTCATTCCATATAATTTTAAGTAAATAGACTCTGAGAAAATATACTGGGAGCATTATCAGACGTTGGCAATCTTGATGAAAGTGTTCAAGTGTTCACAGAGGGTAACAGAGGCACAGCTGCCACCATCTGCCCCCGAGATTTGTACAATTCATAGAAAAAGAATAAAAAGAGTTCATTGGCATTTAACTAGCATTAGTCTTTGCAATCTAAGAACCACAATAACTTTGACACTGGTCAAAGTTATTGTCTTTAAAACACAACAAAACACTTTTTTTTCCCATTATAAGACATTTCTTTAAAAGAAACAAAACAAATCAAGATGACAATAAAACCTACACAAACAGAACCTTGAAAATAAAAGATACCATAGTGGCTGTCTTCAATTTCAATATTAATCCAAGAAACAAAAATGGGAGCGAGTCAGCTCTTTCAAATGCAAGCATACTCTTTCACTGTACTACACTTTACAGCTCATACAACGTCACTGAAGCCAAGGGTAACTTTGGGGACTCCATGGATACATCTTAATCTGCTCTTATGCTACAGTAATTCCTTAAAAAGGTAATTGTTGGTCTATACTACATGGTATAAGTTGGCATTCTAACAACATGGAAACACACACAGTCATCATAGCTCACATACACACAGCAGTAAGTCTCTAGGTAAAACCACAGCAAGTTTCCTTTTGTAATGATTTTTAAAAACCAAGCAATAACAACAGTTCAGCATGTGAAAGACTTGTATGTATATTATTAAAAAGACACAGAGGTTGGGAAACACATTTGGATATTTGAAAAGACACTATAAAAACAAATGAAAAACCCACCAAAAAGCAAACCCCCCACAAAAATCAAGCACCACCCCTAGGATTTGAAATGTGTTGTACGGTGACTTCACTGAAAGCTTAGTTACCAACAAAACATCACAATAGCAGATAACAGAGATTTATTAAACCCACTGTCTCCAACAATACAAAAATTAAATATTAAGGCATCTTATACTCATCCTGGAATATGCAGCAAAGAGAAGTATTTTAAATAAGAGCTAGCACTTACTCAAATGCTTTCTGAAGTATTTGGCAAATTTGTTGTTTATGTTTTGTTTGGTGTATGGTTTCGAGTCCTTGTCTGGTGTGTGTGTGTGTGTGTGTGTGTGTGTGTGTGTGTGTGTGTGTGTGTGTGTGTGTGTGCAGATGGGTGCACAAACAACAAACATGGGCTTTCCTGCTGAGGCCAGAGATCTCTGTTACTCGTCTTCCTCTATTGCCTTCTACCTGATCTGAGACAGCACCTCCCAATGAACCAGGAGCTCAATGACTCAGCCAAACCGGTTGGCCAGCAGGCATGGGGGATCCTCCTGTCTGCATCCCCAGCTCTGGGTTTCAGGTGCATGCTCGGCTTTGTATGTGTGTGTTGGGGATCTAAATTCCCGTCTTCATGCTTGCACAGCAAGCACTTGATTGATGGAGCTCTTTCTCAGCCCCTCAATTTTCTTCTTAGATTCTTTTTATTATTCATAGAATCAAAAGAGCTTATGATCAAATGCTTTTACCCAAACCAAGAGAAAAGTATAACTAGATATCAATTTAATAGGGGGAAGCAATTCACTGCTGACAAATGAGGAGAAACTACAAAGAGAATCACAGAAAGCTCCGCAATGGTACTCAGATTGCTCTGAAGCAACTTCCCCTTCGGTATCTAAGCAGGAGGAGGTGGCGACTTAAGGGGAGACACCCATTGCTATGGGTGGTACCATAGGATATCAAAGAGTCCGTACTGGGTGCTACTGAACTGACAGTTTGCAAGTAGCTTTGTTGGCCTTTAAAAAAAAAAAAAAAAAAAAATCCTATCCCTTGGATCAGATGGTTAAGTCACCACCAGCTCACTCCTCGGAGCTATCCACTGCCAATGATGCTCAATAGCTTCAGAAAGTACTCTAAACGGATACACTTTCACCTTTTATTAAGGCAAGTTTGTGAAAATAACTTACTACAACCAAATCTCTTTATGGACTCTCCACTGCTATTTTTAAAGACATCTACAAAAGAATTATGTCTTGTAAAAAGCCACCCAGTACCAGAAAAAGTAAGAAGACATGTTGATCTGGGCTGCTTTTCAAAGATACTCTCACTTCATCTGCAGAGCTATTCATCATCTTTAGAGCCAGTTTTGCTTAACTGTTAAAAAAAAAAAAGACACAGGTATTAAATGAAAGAAATGACAGTGTCTGAGTCATTACTTCTATCAGAATCAAAAAATAAATAAGTAAACAATAGGAAATGAAGTTCAAGTCATGGGATTTTAAACTATAACTGTTTCTACATGTAACTACTTTATACCTCTAGGCCACATTACTTCTAACAGGTTTAAAAACACCCCCAAAAGCCGGTTCAACAGAACAAGGGTAGGTGGGAGACTATCCTTTGCAGTTTTCTAAGAATTCAGATCCAAGCAGATTCATATAGGAGGCATAGTTTGTGAAATGAATGACATTCTTCTATTTTTGCTTCCTATCAGCAGTAGTATTTAGTAGTTTTTTTTTTTTCACCCAGGCTTATTTTTTTTCTTTTCAGATTATTTTTTTTATTTGAATTAGAAACAAAGATTGTTTTATACCACAATTCCAGTTCCCCTCTCCCTCCCGTCCTCCCCTACCACCCCCCCAACAAAAGCCCTACCTATCACATATCCTTTCTTCTATTCTTCCCCTGACTCAACCTTTCTGCTCCCTCATGACCTCTGCATCCTTCCTCTTCTTTCCTTCTCATTCTCATAGCTCCCTCCCCCTCTTCCCATGCTCTCAATTTCCCAGGCTTACTTTTTTACGGATAATAATCTATGAATCATGCTATCATGATAATGTCTAGTGCTTTCTCTGTAACTAGTGCTATTCTAAGTGTTTTGATGAATGCATATTAACTCAATATGAACTTTATTTTTTTATTTTTTGGTTTTTTGAGACAGGGTTTCTCTGTGTAGCTTTGGAGCCTATCCTGGCACTCTCTCTGGAGACCAGCTGGCCTCGAACTCAGAGATCCACCTGCCTCTGCCTCCCGAATGCTGGGATTAAAGGGGTGCACCACCAACAGCCAGCTTAATATGAACTTTATTCTCTGTCACAGTTTATTAGAAGTATGGAAACTGAGACAGAGGTTAAGTAACTTGCCCCAAGGCATTCAGCTGTCAATCTTTAGACACAAGGCAGTCTGCTTCAGTTGTCCTTAACTGAGGTCTTAACTCCTCATACATCATTTTATGCATGTGTCAATATAACAAAGCATGAAATTGACAGCAATAAGCTGTTATTTTTCAAAAAATTTACACATTTATTGTGTGTATGAGTGTGCATATGTGAGTGTGCCCAGGTGTGTCTGTGGAGGTGAGAGGACATTTTTTATGAGTCAGTTCTTTTCTTCTATCATGTGGGATCTGGAGACTGAACTCCAGCCATCAGATATGACAGCAAGTGCCTTTACCTGTAAGGTGTACATATGTGTGTGGTGGGGACCTATAACCCTGGATCAGAAGATAAATTCTTTTCTAAACTTAGAGTCTTTTTATTGTGTGCATGTAATGTGTGTGTGCTATGCTTGTTCTTGTGTGTTTGTGAGAATAAACACAATCTTTTTAATTGCTATAATAAAACAATATACCTTACAGATAACAATTTTTTTTTTTTTTTTTTTTTTTTTTTTTTTTAGACAGGGTTTCTCTGTATTGTTTTGGAGACTGTCCTGGAATTTGCTCTGTAGACCAGGATGGCTTCGAACTCACAGAGATCTGCCTGCCTCTGCCTCCCGAGTGCTGGGATTAAAGGTGTGTGCCATCAACGCTCGGCTAACAAATCTTAAACTATTAAGTGTGAAACCATAATTCAACAAATTTTGAGTTTGCTAATTTTTTTTTCTGAAAAAAATCTTTGTAAAGAGTTGACAAATTTGGGAATGAAACAGACTAATTCTCAAACACCATAAACATGATCCTGATTAGGACAACCACTTGGTGGTTTGAAAGAAAATGGCCCATAGGGAGTGACACTATTAGGAGGTATGGTCTTGTTGGAGTAGGTGTGGCTTTGTTGGAGGAAGTGTATCACTGTGGAGGAAGGCTTTGAAGTCTCATATGCTTAAGCTATGTCCAATGTGGCACACAGTCTCCTTCTGCTGCCTGAGGATGAAGATGTAGAACTCTCAGGTATTTTTCCAGCACCATGTCTGCCTGCACACTGCCATGCCCTGCCATGATGATAATGGACTAAACCACTGAAACCCAAGTGAGCCATAATTAAATGTTTTCCTTTATTAAGAGTTGCCATGGTCATGGTGTCTCTTCATAGCAATAGAAACCCTACTAAGACAAGCACCCAGTTACCACAGATCCTATTACAGAATAGGATAACTAAGAATGTGGAAGCTAGGGCTGCAAAGATGGCTCTGTGTCTAAGAGCACTTGCTGCTCTTGTGGAAGACTCAGGTTCAGTTCCTAAAACCCACACTGTGCAGCCCACAACTAACTCTAACTGGCTTCAGGGCATGTGACACTTCCTTTGGCCTTCACAGGCACCTACACATGGTGCACGTACCGATAGGTACACATTCATAAATGACTAGAAAATGGCTAAGCCTGACAATCCAAGTTAGCCTTCCAGATCGACATGGTGGAAGAAGAGAGCCAACTTTTCCAAGTTGTTCTCTGACTTCCACATCCATGCTGCAGTATTTGTGTACACACACAAAATAAATGAAATAAAATGATCTTGGAAAAGAATGTGGGAAGTGATGAAAAGCAGGAGCTAAGAGGGGTAACAGTTCCCAAACATGGATCTTGTTAGATAATCGAAGATACTAAGGACTCACTGTTTATAATATGGGCTATAGCTGCTGCATTTAGATTTAAAACTAATGTTTATTAATATAAAACTAACAATAAAACTATCATACAACAACCCAACCACTGTTTTTGTGTGTGTACATATGTGATGCATGAACATGTTTGTGTGAGTTTGTGTACATGGATGCCAGATGTCTTGCCTTTCTTGATTTCCACATTATGTTTTGAGACATGACCACTCACAAAACTTAGAGCTGATGAGCCTGTTTCTGACCCCCCACCACTGAACCCAGCTTTTTATATGGGTGCTGGAGATCTAAAGTTGGGGCCTCATGCTTATACAGCAGGCCCTTTAATGAATGAACCATTTCTCTAATGTCTCAGTAATAACTACATTTTCTGAAAAGAGACTTAGCATGGTGCTGATTTTCCATTTCTGCAGATCTCTTTTATGATCCAGCTCAACAGAAGATGCCTGGATCTGCTTATATCTGTTCTACAGCTCAGTGGAGCTGACTCTGGGAGGACATCGAAGCAGAGGGATGAGAGCTAAGCTTACTGGTAAGAACACCGAACCCTGAGGAAGCAGAGGACATGAAGGCTTCAAGAATACTTACATGCTGAGTCCAAACATGGAAACAGACATCCGGGACATTCCAAAGGAGGCAGGAAGGAAAATGAAAATAGACATTTCGTTATTTGATGGCAATAACTGTAACAACTTTGAAGACTTGAATGTAAGTATGCTATACCTTCACGACATCAACCCAGTTCCAGCCTCGAGGGAGTTCTCCTTTGTGATCTAGAGGACAAAATCAGTAACTTTAGTGAGACCGACAGCTCATTTGTAAATAAACTGATATCCTAGTAAATGGTATTTTTATACTACTGTATGCACCCAGTAGATGGAAAGTGTGCATCACATACTATTAACGTTGGAAAAAGCAGTTTCTCGTTATCTTGGTGACCTTAAAGCAGCATCCTGGAGAAACCTGCAGAGTATTTGAGACATGCCCCTTTAATGCTTATTCCACATCCTACTCAAGACAAAACCCATTAAAAGGAAAAATGAGGGGTGTGACTGACATACTGTACCTGTGCAGGTGCAGAGTCCTGCTTCCTCTAAGGTCAACGCTTATCTAAGTGAGAAGCAGTGCTAGCTCACTATTTCAGGAATCACTCCAGGATGCTTGGCCCCCAACAAGCCAGACGGTATGACAAATGCTTGGCTTCAGGACTAAGAGGAGCGAAGGTTAACTTATGGATGGACAGCTTGGCCATGCTCTGATAAAACATATTTTTCAAAAGGACCTTCACTCAATTGCTGTGGTTCTCAACATGTAGGTTGCAAACCCCATGGGGAGGGTCACATATCAGATATCTTGCATATTAGAGATTTACATTATGATTCATACCAGTAGCAAAATTACAGCTCGGAAGTAGCAACAAAATAATTTTATGGTTGGGGAGGTCACTACAACCTGAAGAACTGTATTAAAAGGTGGCAGCATCAGGAAGGTTGAGAACTACTGCTCTACATAGAATCCTTGGGACAAAGCTCATAAGGACTCAGATAAAAAATGTATAGTTTGCTGGGTATTGGTGGCGCACGCCTTTAATCCCAGCACTTGGGAGGCAGAGGCAGGCAGACCTCTGTGAATTCGAGGCCAGCCTAGTCTAAAGAAAGAGTGCCAGGATAGGCTCCAAAGCTACAGAGAGAAACCCAGTCTCAGAGAAACCCTGTCTCAAAAAAAAAAAAAAAAAAAAAAAAAAAAAAAAGCATAGTTAAGGAAATATTTAACAAATACACATTTAAAACATTTTACTTAAAAATTCTTCAATTTTAGGGCTAACAAGATAACTCAGCAGACAAAGAAAGAGACATGCTGCCAAACCTGACCACTTGGGCTCAATCCCTGGGCCCCACATGGTAGGAGAGAACTGACCCCCCCCATTGTCCTCTCATCTCCAACATATGCCATGGTACACATGTGCCCATATAGACATGCATGTGCACAAAATAAATTTTAAAATATAATAACAATAATTTTTCTATTTCAAATGGCTTGGCTTCCCTTATTCTTCACGTAGGCTGCATATCTCATTTTATGAAACCTTAAAAAATTTACATTTGAAACAAGTATTATGTAGATCTGAAAAAATGCTCCAAAATCTGAATCTTTCTGAGTAGTTTTAGATTTTGGACCATCTTGTGGCTGGCAACTAGGAACTATGAAAAGTTCCCAGATCTGGAAGTATCTGAACACTCCTGGTCCCAAACACGGGGGTAAAGGGTATTCACCTGTATAAACTGTCTAGCAAAGCAATCAGAGACTAATGGTTTTCACAGAGTCAATTGTTATAGGAGCCCTGTTCCAGATGCCAATTGTTCTGTTCTCTTTCGGACCAGCAAGAATCTCATGTCACAGGTTTTATGAGGGCACATGGTTGGACCATCAGTGTGGATGCCCAGTCTATGCCATTAAAGTTTTATTTAGAATGTAAGTTCTCAGTCACAAACCCCTATAGTGTCAGCTTAGGGAGATTAGACCATAGTAGGGCATCATCAAAGAGACAGGATGGGGAGACATTATTTATTATTATTATTATTATTATTATTATTATTATTATTAATATTAATTCAAGTTAGGGGACAGGCTTGTTTCACATGTAATTCCCCCTCCCTCTCCCTCCCCTCACCCCCATTCCTTCTCCCCCACCTCCACCCCACAAAGTCCACCAAATCTTCCTATGCTGGGCTTAGGCCCCTCCCCATGTGCCCAGAGACAGAGCGCTTCCCTTCAAGTGGGATGGGCTCTCAAAGTCCCCCCCACACACCAGGGCAAAACGCCAGTCCACCTCCAGAGGCTCCCTGGAGTGCAGGGGCCAGGGGAGACATTATTAAATGAACACAAACACAGGCCACGAGGCATGGCAATAAGAGGCAACTGACACAGATGCTAAATATTCCAGAAAGACAATCACCAAAATTCTTGAAAACAGGCTACAATGGCTAAAATTTTTTACTTCAGTTATTTACGCTTTACTGCTGCCTGACATGAAGTGAATGATGTGGAGACTTTTATACCACAGTTACAATTTCAAAATGTTGTTTAGGAGGACCAACACAGTGTTGTTGTTTTTTTTTTTTTATTTTACCATTGACAGATATTAAACAAAAATAAACCTATTATCCTCTCATTTAAAAAAAAAGGGGGGGGGGACAGGGGCTAAAGAGATGACTCAGCAGTTACAAGCACTTGTCCTTCCAGGGTGAGAGACAGGTTCCCAGCACCTACATCACACAGCTGCCTGTAATTCCAGGTCTAGGGCATCCAACACCTTTTTGGGGCCTCCATGAGTACTGCACATACAAGGCTCTTTTTCCCTAATTGGGAAAATTCAGACTGAGGTCCATTTGCAAATTTCTAAGTTAAAGAAAAAGGAGCAAGCATTACCATTAATTGAGCTGGAGTTTATAACCCTTTTCTGAGGAGTCTGTTATTGGACACAGGGAATTCTTCTCTGAAATCTTACTGTATAATTAAATTAACTATAGGCAAAAATATTAAATTACTGTGCTAAGATGGGAATGGTCCACCAGACTGCAAGTGAAAACTGTATTTTACACAGCTTTTAAAATACACACCTGCCACACAGGTAAATAAAATCCCACACAGTGTTACAGTGTTCAGGCAGGACACCTATTCTGTCCATTTTTCTAGTGTTCCCCAGTGTTCTGGAATGTTTATAATTACTTTGTGACTCATTATCTTTTTTCCAAATGATGATCTCGTAACAATAAATAGTTTTTTGTTTGTTTGTTTGTTTTCTGTGACCAACACGTCTCTGATTCCAATGTCCCAAGAACAGACTGAAGAATTAATCCTGTAAACACAACAAGCGCCCACATCACAGTGAAATCTACCCACATCCTGTGCTAAGAAAGACAAAGAGCAACAATGCACACCTGTTTTATCTGCCAGCTTGCGTTTCTGAGCTTTGGAAAGTTGCTCTTTCTTGTCTTTTTTCTTACTTGAGGGGGCTGTGCTGGGAGTTTCAACAGAGATGATGTTGGCTACCGGCGTCTACAAGAACAGAAACAGATCTTAGATTAGACTCAACACAGCTACATCTTGAAGGGAGTGATGGATTTCTAACTTTACAAAATGAAAGGTGTTACTGCTGTTATTCACTTATTCAGTCAGGTGTGCTCACGCATCACTGGCCTTACTTTCACAAAGGCTCATTTTCAAGGACACAACACTGGAGTGCAGCTGAGAAGGAAGTCTGATCGCCCACATTATGTTGAAGATCTGAGGTTCCAACAAAATTGTGGAGATTACTGAACTTGCTGTCATTATTGTTGCATCTTTAGAAAAAGCACACATCCCACCCAGATCTTGATGGTTCCCTACAGCACTTATGATAGCTGAAATCTAAAATACTGCATGATATGTATTACTGTGACTACATATATCATTTATTGAGCCTTACTACAATAAAGTAGATACTACTGTAACCTCATTTAACCAAAGAGAAACTGAGGTTAAGAAAGCTGGCCAAAGTCACAGGATTAAAAAAGATATGCATAGAGGTTTTGAACCCATGTGTGGCTCAAATGGAACTAAGACAAGACTGATTTTCCCTCCCTTCCTTTCTGATAGAGTCTTACTATGTAGCCTAGGCTGGTCTGGTCTTGAAATCACCTGCCCTTGCTTCCCACGGCTAGGATTAAAGGTGTACACCACCACTCCTAGCTTCAATTTCAATGGTTGGAAGTATTTAAATCTTTGCTGAAGGGTAAAAATTGACAGAGCATAATTTCATTTTTCCCATTAAGTAGAGGGAATCTAAGATTCGTTGTTCTCACTTAACTCAAATGTAATTCTGTTTAAATCTAACACAAAGTCTTCTAATTAAAAACAAACAAACAAACAAACAAAAATACAACTAGCAAAAATTAATTAACAAGCCCAGACCAAAACCACCTGGCAGAACCAACCACACACTCACTGGCGTAGAATTCCCGGGATGGTGGTTCTCCATGAACTGCTCTTTGTTGTCCTTAGCATACTCGAACAATGTGTAGGTCATGGCGGTGCCAAGGTTCACTTCTACTGCTTCCTGTAGTTTGGCTAAGATACTCTGTTTCACAGCTGAGGAGCTGTAAAGCAGAGAAACCAAACTGTCAAGGGTAAGTAAAACAGAAGACAAGGACCAAACAATGAAAACAAAGCTACTCACATGGTGTTGTTAAAAAAAGCGTTCATAGATATGACAGGAGGCGTCTGGGGATATGTCTCTGTCCAGGAAATCTCTATTAGGAAGGCTTTGGGATCACCATCTTCACCTATCTGAAGAAAAGGGAATCTTAGACTTATGGAAAGTAATCAAAAGTCCTAAATAACCATCTTCAAAATGATTCTTTACAGCATTCATGTTCACACTCAAAAGCATAATATTCTGAAAAGTTCAGAGGTGTTGGGGGAGGAATAAACAAGGGGGAGGAGAGTACAAACAGCTTCAACTTTAGTCCAGTCCTGTTTCAGGAGGCTGCATTACTGCTGATGGCCTGCTCCTCAATCAGCTTTTCAATGCCAAGAATACACTTTACATTTTTTGTTTCTGAGGGTGAAGATAAGGCATCAAACACAAGGAACAAGATGCAGATGCCAATGGAGCTGGGTGTGGTCACATTGGGAGGCAGAGGCAGGTGAATCTCTGAGCTTTGAGGCCAGCCTGGTCTACAGAGCTACACAGAGGAACCATGTATCAAAAATGAAACAAAAGACCTCAATGAACAAAAATAATTACCCACAAACTTGTAACAGCTTGTTTTAAAGATTTCTAACTGCTAAACTGCAAGGGGCACAAAGAGCAGGGAAACTGATACACACTGTTCAAGTGGCAAGAGACCAGAAATGGAGTCTAACACTGGGAGAAGATGCCTCAGGCCACAGAGCAATTCCTGGTAAGAATGGTTCCCTTTGGTCAATTTTCCATTCAAAACATTTTTAACCTTGCTGGACGGTGGTGGTACACACCTTTAATCCCAGCACTAGGAGGCAGAGACAGGTGGAGCTCTGAGTTCAAAGCTAATCTGGTCTTCAGAGTTCTGGGACAGAGAAACCCAGTCTCAAACACCAAAACAAAATTAATCTTAGGAAAAGCTAAACTGGTATGATAAATATCACTGGTATGTATCTATAAACACCCATCTCATTTCCTTATCTCCACCCCCAGCACAGAAATCAGCATTTAACATGTATGATTTTCCCCACTTTGCTTTTTGTTTGTTTGTTTGTTTTTTTGAAGTATTTGGAAATAATGAAGTGTCTTTAGTTATTTAGGGGTGAAAAAAAAAAAACCCTTTGGATACCTTTTCTAGCCTTAAGACAATCATGCCACCCCCAGGAACTCAACATTGATATAAAAAAACTTATCTAATATATAATTTATATTACAGATTTCCCCAACACTGCCTAAGGTGTCCTTTAATAAATGCCACTCCCACCCCAGAAATCTAAAATTCACTAAAGATTTATTGTATTTGGTTGTTATGCTTCTTTAGTCTACCTTAATAGAACCTTCTCCCTGGCTTTTTAAGTCTTTTATGACATCAAGGGTCTAGGCCAGTTTTTCTGACTAACATCCCCAAATAGACAACTACTTGCTTTGTTCAGATTCACATGAACCATTTTGTGAGGAGAGGTGGTATGGTAGCCCACAGGCATCCATTCAGATTCACCACTGGGGATAATTTCTTCAGTGTAGAGGTAATAAAGAAAATCTGTGCAGCAATAACACAGAACTACGTCACTACCCTGTTTCTTAGCAACTTTTGCCTAGAGACGTCAACATCTGTTAATAATGCTTGCCTGAAGCAAGCTTTTCACTTCAGGGGCCTGAGAGACAGCTGGGGGTATGGTGGTGGGTCAGGGGAGAAGTCTCCTGCTGTCAAGCCTGATGACCTGAGTGTGATCCCCGGAACTCATGTAGTGGAAGGGAAAAACCAACTCACAAGTGCTGTGGCAAAAATGTGTCCCTCCTCAAAAGAACACACACACACACACACACACACACACACACACACACACACACACATCATTCCTGTTATTGACTGACACAGACATATCAAAAGGTCCCTAAATTTACTGGATGCTGTTTCTGTGCTTCAACTTACATTGGTACAGAATGTAGCTGAAGGTAAGAGGATGAGGGCATGGGCAGATTGTAAAAGGTGAAGCAAATAATAATTTCTATTTATTTTACATTTATTTCTCTCGTGGGGTTATCCACTTTTGACCATTCCCCTAGATGTGAGGCTTCCTTTCTTGAGCACAGTCCTTTCCTTGACTTCTGGCTTTTCTCAAAGTCCTGGTACCAGGTGACTGTGTCTCTTTCGGGCTCAGAGCCCTTAGCCCCCACCCTCTGAGTGATGACTCACTGGGTGGCCTCTGCCTGTCTTGAAATGGACCCTCTCTGAATTCCTGGGATGCTAGGAATTGCAGACCCTTGGGTCTTCTCTTCCTCACTCATGGGAGCCGTGCTATTGTCTATATCTCATTGCTCCCATTGGGGTGTTTTTTTTTTGGAGACCCACTGACCATTCCTACCCAGCTATTGTTGCAGGGCTACCAGCAGCTGTTGTCTACAGGGCTGGAGGCGCAAGATGACCAAACATGTCCAGTGATGCTGTGGTGAAGGGAAAGATCAGGTGCTCTAAGCCCCAGGGAGTCCATTTGGATCCACCAACAACAGCGTTTTACTAGGTCCAGGAGGCACCTGATGGTTCAGAAGAGCCTGGACAGTGAAGTGAAACAGTCAGCTACTCAAGGACATGGCTAGCACCCCAGGTCTCCCAGGTCCCACAAAGATGAGCGATGCCCCCCACTAAGATAGAAGTACTCAACAAAGAGGAGAAATGAGCCAGGCACATAGTGGTGCACACCTGTAAGCCAAGCACTGGGAAGGGAAGGTAGAAGGATTAGGAGTTGGAAGCCAGCCTTGGCTATACAGTGAGTCTGAGGCTAGCCTGAACTACATGTCATCCTATCTTAAGACCAAGGGAAACAGAGGGAGGTGAGTTGGAAATCTGATGGAAACTATGAGCCCCTAGTTTGAGACTAGCCTGGACTGTATGTGATCCTTTGTAAAAGGGGAGGGGCTGGCTATGTGCCTATTAAAGGGGACACACCTGTGAAGCATTCCTAACAAAAATTTAACCCTGAATCTGATCAAGTCTGATGACCGTCAATTTACAGGGATAGGGAAATGGTTAAAAATTGTATCATACTGTCTGTTAGAGATTCTACCAGATTACTTGGTTTCTTAAATAATAACCAGGAAGAGAAGGAGGGAAAGCTGGGATAGGAAAGTAGGTGGGGTGGTGATGGGGAAAGGTCTTCCGTATATGTTATCTTATTGGTTAATGAATAAAACACTGGCCAATAGAGCAGCATGACTGGCAGGTTTAGGAGATGAGGAAGATTCTGGGAAATGGAATCAGAGTCAGTCACCATGTAGGAGCCCACCAGACAGAGTGGATGCTGGAGGAGTACCACCACGCCGGGTATTACTGGGTAAGTCACAGCCACGTAGCAATACACAGATTGATATAAATGGGTGTCTTTCTCTCAAGTTCACTTTTCTTAAATTACAACAAGGTTGACTCTAAGCAAAGACAATGCTGGGGGGGGGGAGACACTCGGGGAGATACTGAACAGATCATTTATGAATCCCTTGTGCCTAATGAAGTTTGACAAAGTCTTCTAGAGGTAATTCAGGACCAAAAGAGGACTTGGAGTGGCTGGAGAGCTGGCTCAGGTGTTACAAGTGCTTTTCACTATTGCAGAGCACTGGGGCTGGGTACCCCAAACTCCCACAGCAGCTTACAACTTTGGGCTTCTACACACACACACACACACACACACACACACACACACACACACACACGTGATCCAAACATTCTCATATACAAAATAAAAATAAATCATTTTTTAAGTGGACTTTGGTTATAGAGCTAAGAATACAGCCCTCAGTCTATGGGCAAGAGAAGCCCAGGAAGAAACTTCTTTCAACAGGTTATTGCAGGGCTACTTAAAGGTTTCAGAGTGTTAAATAGCAGTTTGTTGAACTCGTGGTTCAGTGTAAGAGGGAAGCTAATGAAAGACATGGAAGCAGGGAAGTCATTTAGGAGCTGACTAAACTACTCGAGAACAGAGGGTCTAACGGGGTATATCTTCGGCTCTCTTCCTTTGACTGTTGACACAGTCTCCAATTTCATGTTTCATTCTATCTTAGAGTGAACACACATATCCTGCACCATTCTGCATATTGTGCTCAATAAATAACTGATGCTGTTACTGGAGACATTTAGGAAAACATGGGAATTCTCAGTGTCTCTGGTAAAGAAAAGGTGGCAGTGGCTGGGAAAATCTCAGAAGGCCCAGGTCTTAATTTCACTAGAAGCTCTTAATTCTATCTTAATTAATTAGGATGGAATTAGGTCTTAATTCCATCAAGAACAATGGACATTAAGAGTTCCTTAGTTGTAGTCAGGCAGTGGTGGTGCAGCCTTTAATCCCAGCACTCAGGAGGCAGAGGCAGGCAGATCTCTGTGAGTTTGGGACCAGCCTGGTCTACAAGAGCTAGTTCCAGGACAGGCTCTAAAGCCACAGAGAAACTCTGTCTCGAAAAACCAAAAGAGAGTTCCTTGGTTGTGATGGTTGAGGTTGCCAACTTGATGGGAATTAGAATCACCATAGAAACCAGCCTCTGGGAATGTCTGTGAGGGACTGAGGTGAGAAGGCCTACCCTGATGTGGACATCATTCCACGGGCTGGGGTCAGGAGAGAGAGAAGTGGGCAGAAGCAATCAATGTTCTCTCTGCTTCTTGACTTTGGGCACAATATGAGCATCAGCCTCACACAGGATCCTTTGGCCATGATGTCCGTGGATGGACTGTACCGTCAAACAGCCAAAAGAAACTCTTCTTTCCTTAAGTTTTTACATTAAAAAAAAAAATACTTATTTGTCATCACTGTGTGCATGGGATTTGTTTGGGGGGCCCACAGTACCACAGTAACAGGACAGCTTTGAAGAATGGGTTCTACCCTTCCACCTTTATGTGGGCTCTGGGGATCCAGTTCAGGCTGCATAGTCTCTGGCCTGACCCTCAAGTTGCTTTTGTCAGGCATTTTGTCATGGCAACAAGTACTGTAACAAGTATAGTTGTCATACAGATGGAGTCAGTACAAAGAGTTGGGTCTAAAGAACTGGGAATTGCTATGAAGCAGTGGTTCTTAACCTGTGGGTCTCAATCCCATTTGGGGTTGAATCCTTTATACAGGGATTGCCTAAGACCATCAGAAAACATAGATATTTACATTATGAATCATAACAGTAGCAAATTACAGTTATGAAGTAGTAACAAAAATAATTTATGGTTGGGGGTTACCACAACATGAACTGTGTTCAAGGTTCACAGTGTTAAGAAGGTTGAGAACCACTGCTGTAAAGAATTTATTTCCTAGTTATACGTGTGAGTCTGAGATAAAAGAATCAAAAATTCAAGGCTAGACTGGGCTACATGGTGATTCTCTGTCTTAAGAAAACAACAAAAACTCATTTCCTATTATAGTATACAATACAAGCAAATTTGAGGATTATGTATCAATATCAGCTGTGGCAAGAGTTAGGACTCTAGGACCCAGGGAAGCTATCTTTAAGAAGGTAGCACCTAGTAATACTTAAGATTTCTTTTATCTCTAATTTTTTTAATTTTTACAAAATCATAATTTCACATGTCAATCCCTTCTCCTTCTCCCCTACCAGCCCTCTTCCCCTTTCGCTCCCCATAGAGGGTAGGGCCCGCCATGGGGGCTCCCCAAATTCCACATCATCATCCTGGGCTGGGCCTAGGCCCTCCCCCATGTGTTCAGGCTGAGAGAGCATCCCTTCACGTGGGATGGGTTCTCAAAGTCCCTTCTTACACCAGGGAAAAATTACTGATCCACTACCAGAGGCCCCATAGGGTGCCGAGGCCTCCTCATTGACATCCATGTTCAGGGGTCTGGATCAGGCCTGTACTGGCCTCCCAGACAGCACACTGGGGGCCATGCGTTCCCCCTTGTGTCAGGAGACTAGAGCGATGGCTCAGGTGTTAAGAGCACTTGCTGTTCTTCCAGAAGACCCCGGTTTGGTTTCTACCATTGGTGGCTTACAACCACCTCAAACTCCAGCTCAAGGGGATTTGATGGCATCTTCTGGCCTCTGTGGGCCCCCAGATATACACATACAAGTAAAAAACAATCATTTTTGGAAAAAGAAACATTTCAGAAAACAGAGGGTATTACAAAGTTAACCCACTAAGTTACAAGATGGACACAGATTCTGCAGAGCCTCCTTCCCTAGCACAGAAATCCATGCACTGTACAGGCTGTCTCTTACCCTGTATTGAAATGAAACTGGACTTAATTCCCGGAAGCTTTCATCTCCTTCATAAATAGAACGTAAAGCTTCTAGTTCCATCTGAAAAAGAAAAAAAAAAAAAAAGCAATGAATATTGTTTAGTGGCATATATAGATTAGAAAGTTTTTAGCTTCTCTTTCAAAACCATCCAGCTTTTAAAAACATGGCTTAACTTATTGACCCTAGACACATATGACATGTGTGTATACCAACACAGTACAATTATGCTAATAGCACAAAACTATCCACTGGACACTGCTAAGGGTTTTTACATTGTATCAACTCACTTAATTCTCATATCCACTGTGGAGGGAGAACTGATTACCACACTTCCTTCTCCATATTGTGGAGGAAAGGTGCGGATTAAAGCAACTTGAGAGTATTTTCTGTCCACTCTCCTGAACAACTAACCTGGTGTACAGAAAATGCACTACACTTGGAAATTAGAAATGGAGGCACAACAATGTCTGATTTTAAAAAGAACATCAGTTGCTGGGTGGTGGTGGGGCATGCCTTGAATCCCAGCACTCAACAGGCAGAGGCAGGTGGATCTCTGAGTTCAAGGACAGCCTGGCCTACAGAGTAAGTTCCAGGACAGCCAGAGGTACACAGGGAAAACCTATTCTTAAAAAAATAAAACAACAACAAAAATCAGTTACACTTCTCATTTCCATAGTGATACAAAGATTAAATTCACCTGCCTTTGCCTCCTGAGTCCTAGGATCAAAGGTGTTCAACACCACTACCTAACTCACGTCATTAATTCTACAGACAAAAGATGGTGAAGTTGACTTGTTCTCCATTTACAGATTTTAGAATAGATTATAAAGAAAATAGCATGGCACTTGTGAAAGTTTAGAATTCTTAGGATCTAGCAAGCCTTACAAGGTAGTACTAAATAATCCTTTCAAGCATAACTCCCTCCATTAGAGAAAGACACCAGACTCAGTCTATTAGGATTTTAGCAACACTTTCTTTACAGAACAGACCAGAACGAAACACAAAATAATAAAGAAAAGCCTAGAAATCCAAACTGGATTCAAGAATGTAGTGTCACTCTTACCATAACCTCTCTCCATATTTTAATTAATAACTTGGGCAGGAACAAAAAGAGAAGACAGGCTTGTCAAAAATGTGTGGGTGATAATTTGATGAGAAAATGAATCATGCTGATGAAAGAATAAGAACCCCCCCAAAGTCCTTTAAAATCAAGCCAATGATAATATTTGACAGTATAAGTAGACCTTGCATTTAATACCTAAATATCTAAGTAGAGGATGGGAGATGAGCTGATTTCTATGAAGCACTAAGGGGCATTGACTGACAGTAAACCAGAAGACTGTGATCCTACAGTTTCATCATAAGAAAATGGAGGTTCTTTTCATACACATTCGATTTCAGGAAAGCAAAGGAATGAAAAGAAAGGATACATGAAGAAAAGTGAACAGGAAGCATGTGATTACTATTTTGTTTTTCAAAGCCAGCATCTTCAAAACTGGGCAGGAAAGATCAAGACACCCATCATGAGGAAGAATAGAATTTTATTGTTAAAAATGGAGACTCCTGGGTTCTACCACAGAAATCTTGATTCATTACGTCTGAGCTGGCATCCGCTCCCTGAGGTGGTGGGCGTTGTCCATCAGTCGAGTTGGTAAAGTGTTACATTGTGCTTTGCTGGGAGAAAAAAAACAACTATTTCCAAATTGACACATAATAATTGTATTTATTAGGGCTGGAGAGATGGCTCAGTGGTTAAGAACATCGTCTGCTTTTCCAGAGAACCTTGTTCAATTTTCAGCATGGACATGGTGGTTCATGGCTGTCTATAACTCCAGTTTAGGATACCCAACACCCTCTTGTGCCCTCAGTGGGCACCAGACATGCAAGTGTGCACATATATACATGTAGGCAAAACACTTATAAACATAAAACTATTTTAAAAATTCTATTTATGGGATACAATGCAACCCTTTGATAAGTGTACCTATCACACAATGATGAAATTAGGGAAATTAGTATATCTATCACTTCAAAGTTTTAATCCAAATTTATTTGTCAAGGAACCATTCAAAACTCTTCTATTTTTGAAATACAAAGGATACTTTTAAACTAGTTGTGCTGTGTGACAAAGACATCAGATCTTGCTCTTCCCTATTTAAGTTTGTATCCACTTACTAGTCATTTCTCTTCCTTTTTCTCTCCATTCTCCCCCTGAATTCATTAATGCTTTGGATTTATTGAACTGGTAATAATATTTTAGCAGGGTATTTAGATAGCGATTAACTTGTTGGATTTGGGGGTCCTTTACAGAGGACTTGTAACCTAGAGCTTTTGTTAACATCCACACTGTCAGGATGCTAACTTTTAAGGTTTTTTTTTTTTTTTTTTTTTTTTTTGGTTTTTCGAGACAGGGTTTCTCTGTATTGTTTTGGAGGCTGTCCCGGAACTCGCTCTGTAGACCAGGCTGACCTCGAACTCACAAGAGATCTATCTGCCTGCTTCTGCCTCCCAAGTGCTGGGATTAAAGGTGTGTGCCACCAACTCCCGCAGGATGCTAACTTTTAAGCAACATATTCAAAACAGTGAATTACTACTTATCTACTACTACACAAGGACGCTTGTCTTCTAATCATTCCTTATTCCATCACATTCACTCTGGGGCACTCTACTACTGCAGACCACGCTTCCTCATCCGGACACATTCTAGTTAGAAAGTTCAGATGACAGATGATTTACAGCACCCATTGCTTCCAACTCTATCTCAAAATGATATTTTGCAACAAAAAATATCAAAGCACAAACTATACAAAATTGTGTTGAATTTTAAGCAAAATAATGCTCAAAACATTTCATGTCCACTCAACAACAGATTGACGAGTGATTTAGAAACCGAGACATCGGGGTCATTCATTTCCCTCCACAGAAATTTTACTTCCCCGACCCCTCTCTAGGAGACCGCAGGTTTTAAAGTTTAAAGGAGATCAGATTTTAAGACTGGATAACAACTCATAAGCGATAAGCCACACACGGTATTTAAGGACAGCCAAATACATTAGGGTCGTGGACCAAGGACACTCATCACTCATCTTAGAAAGGAAATCTGGGGACACCCCCGGGGTTGCAAGAAAAAAAAAAAAAAAAAAAAAAAGACAAATGAGGGGAACCGGAGGGTGAGTCGCACGTGACCCATTCATGCTTGCTGGCCTCACTGTTGACCGGTGCCATCTGGCAGTGGATCCGCCAACGTGGGACACCCGGGTGGCCAGGCAGTGAGGGCTCTCAACGCAAAGGACACGTGCGGAGTCCCGGTGTCCCACGCTGGGACCTGTCCTGGGGTGTCCTGTCCTGGGTTCTCACCTCCTGGTCCTCGTTGGCACCCATCGCGCAGGGCGCACAACGTTTGCGACCGCGAAGAACAGGCGGGCGGCGGGGCGCGGGCGGCGGGGGGGGGGGCGCCCCCCC